GGATAGTAGTGACAGTGTAATGGCGATTAATGATATTAGTTTATGTACGTGAGTTAAACGACACGTTAAATTTTCGCGTTTTTTAAAGGTTTGATGATAATAAGGTAAACGACCGTGGGGTGGTAACATTTTTAAAAAAAAATTTTTTTTTAAAAAAATTATTAAAACAATTAATATAATAAACATGTATGACGCGCGTTCAACAAAAAAAAAAGTCGATCAATAATGTTTGTATTATTTTCACCATGCCTATCACATTCTCGGACTCTTCATAGAGTAACTATGACCTAGTAAATTATTAATAAAGGAAAACCATTAACAAATTTACATTCATTCATTCTACAATATTAAATAACTTGCTTCTTAGGAGGAAACCTTCTTTATGATAATAAAAATGATAACAATTAATGAAAGTGGTAATGAATCTAGATTTTAATTGCAGTTATTCTGTGAAAGTCTTTCAAGACAGTACGAATAATTATAAGCCATTCTGTTTACTTTGGAAATACATTTAATAAAATAGAACCAACTAAACTCCAATTATAATAAAACCTTTAATAAAAAGTGTATAACGTGAAAAAATTTGAAGATCGACATAGTAATCGGGACCAGAGTTGTACTATTACCCTGAAATGTTGGCTTAAATTTCGTGAGTTTCTGTTTATGAGTATATCCTCATTCAATACAGCGAGTGACTTGGTATTATGTGTAGAAAATTTAATAAAATTAACAGGAAAAGTAATAGAAGCTATTTATTTGTTATCTATTGTTTTTTATTATTTATCAATAACGGCCGTGTATATAACACCAGCAGATTGTTTAATCATAGTCCCTTTTTTTAAAAAAATAGAAATGTTGTCTAAACACCTAATGCGGACATTTTCCTAAAGGCTTATCCTATCTTACCTGGACCGTGGTGGAATAGGTTAACAGGGAATTGTAAAACATGGTAAATTTTTGATGATCTGCATCATAGTAAAAGTCGAATTTACATAGTAAAATTTTACAATCAAGTGACTTCTAATCCCCATTTAATACCCTTGCTGTGTAGAAACCACCGCCAAATTTGAGTTATAACTTCTTTATCATATGCATCTGCTTTAAGAAATTTTAAAGCAGGTTGTTAATAAAACTGAAAATAATCTGACCCTCAAAGTCAAATTTTGCCTTTATATTCATATATGTAAAATCTTGTTTGACGCGTTCAATTGCAAGTATAAGTAGAAATAAATGTCCAAATATTACATTATTATGAATATTTGTAGATTTTTGATCATTTAGGTATGTCTTTTATAGTAAAATCATTTATTTTAAAAGTAATATAATAAATAAATAGACATTAAAGTTTTTCTTT